AATTGATGGGGACGCCGGAAACGCAAGCAAACGCCGTAAAAATCCCCGACCGTTCGTAATTGAGGCACGTCTTAGGTTTCCACTTTCCCCTTGGATAGATGAGAATGTAGTGGTCCTGCCGTTCTATTAAATACGTTGTCTTTTTGTAGGACGATTGCCGAGACGCCCCTCAATGACTACTCATCACGATCGCACTGTGTGTTTACTGTTCATGTGATTTCCAAGTGCAATACGACCGGAAAAATTACGAAATCCAAATTAAATTTGGTTGATTTAGCTGGGTATCTATAAAAATACATTTTTCTACTTTTATTTTTAAAGCGTGGTTTTGAGACACAAAAAGTGGTAGTTAGTCAAGGCTGTGACTAAAGTACTTTCGTCACGAGGTGCGTTTGCGCCTGCGCATACTAAAGTTCAAATACAAAAATCGTAACGTGGAAATAAAGTGAAAGTAGAAAAAATAGCATAAGCATCACGTGGCTAAACGTTTTTAAACAATTAATTGATTAAACACTTATTTTTATTCAGTCTCGTGACAAAAACTCTCCTTTAGCCACTTAATACTTAATATACTAATATTTTATTTATTATTATACGTAATTTAAATATTTTTATTTAGTTCTGAACGTTTACACCGAATGAATCTCCATGGATTAACCCTCAATGAAGCACGTCACATCAATCTCTCTTTACATTACTTAGAACGTGTCATTCAAGCACTTTCGCGGAAAGGTACCCACCACGTGCCATACAGAAACAGCATGATGACATTCATCCTAAGAGATTCTCTAGGCGGTAATTGTTTGACAGCAATGTTGGCTACTTTGAGTATGCTGCATGTCAATCTGGATGAAAGCATCAGCACGTGCAAATTTGCCCAGCGCGTTTGTCTTATCACTATGAATGCTAATGTTAACTACTTGCCGAGTCCGGAGAAGGAAATTGATTATTTGCGTTCAGAGATCAAACGATTGAAGAAACAGATTAACGAAACTAATAATGCGGTGAGCGTGAGCGGTGAGCGATTAATAATTAATATTATTTTGTTGAAATCTGTATTTTTTTAGAATAAACAACTGACGGAACAAGAAAAAGATGAGTGTATGTTTGCTATCAAACAATATTTATTAGGCGAAGATGATTTTGTCATGATAAATGATATGAGAAAAGTTAAATATTGTATAGAGTTTATGAGGGACAAACTGTCGTTGATGACTAAAGAACTGGAGTCTCAGAATTTACGCTCAACGCTTGATATTAAACGGAAAAAATGTATGGACGAGATGGAATCAAAGTATAAACAAATTATTGAGCAGAAAGATGAAGAAATTTGTATCCTTTTAAACAAAACTTAAACAAAACGCAATTTTTAAAACTGCGGTGTTAAAAAAACTTGACTAATTTAACTTTGAGGTTAAATATTTAGGTTATGATACGTACAAACGTATATAACCTCAATTATACTTAATTTTGGTGAATAATATGAATTTTTGATTCGTCTTTTAATCAATTTTACGTTTAAAATAATTAATTAATTAATTAATTAAGTAAATTTTTCTTAAATTTTTCCCTCAAGCTGTTTTAATAAATGCAAACAATCAAAGAATCGACCCACAGTCTCCGCGAACTACAATAATTTATACCGCAGCAGAAAACTCAAAAA